TTCCCATCGACGTGTCGAGCCATCGTATGGGAGACCCGTGGAATCTTGTAGACTACCTGTTCATTCTTGTAAATTTAGGATGAAACTCACTTCATGAGCGATTCGATGAGCTTACAAGGGAACTAGTGAAGCAACGAAAGTGCAAAATGCCCCACCCCTCCCGTCGTGTTTCCTCTGCTTATTTGACCATACGATTCATTTGTTGCCTTCGTATGGCAAAATACCGATCACTAAATATCTTGGTGACCTCTTCAAAGGGGAATTCTGCTCCCTGCAAGAGGAAGATCTCAGTTTACACAAAAAACATAAAAAAATTGTCTAGGAAAATTGCCAAGTGAGTTTTTTTCCAGGGATAGCCTTCCCTCAAGTCTGATCTTACAGCGGCGAGGTTCACATCAACCAGTCCTCATCCCTCCATGGTAGGCTGATCGGTGCCAGGACCCTCTAGGCCCATGTGGTCCGAGTTAGTCAATAATCCACTTGATTTTTCACTTGATTTTAATTTCCAATTCTACGCGCATGAGGAGAAAAAGGTGTAGATGCAGGTGGCGCAGCTAACTCCCACGGTCTAGGCTCAGATGGACCACCATCTTGGCCAGCCTAAACCAACACTTTTCCAAGGGAGGTTATTTGGCAGGAGCATAGTCTGGGAGACTATGAATATTACGTCTGACATGAGTTGGTGTTCGCAAAACGGTTTAGGGGTACAAGTCGTTGTCGTTCTCTCGAAATAAAGGATTACGAGAAGCAGATTCTGAGGCTTATCTCAGAGCGAGTGATCAGCCTCGAAAGTCCTGCCATTTCAGAAGCTTAGTCCCTTCAAAAACCCATCCTGAGTTCCCTTGAGGACGCGGCTTGCCTCTCCGCTCCTGCCCTCTACTCTCAATTAGACCCGTTTTGGCTACTTTGATCGCGGTGGAGCCTATTTATGAGCTTAAGAGTTCTGCCAGTACAACTCAGTGTTTTTGTTCTCCTAGATGAGTTTTGTACGAATTGGCCTGCACCTGGGATGGAAGGCTTGGCTGGTTTGGCAGGATCCGATCCGTTTTGATGCTGGAAACATTTCGCGGTAAGCAGCACTAATTGCCACTATGTAACCACCTCCGAGCAAGAAATCAGATTGCAAAAGATATTGGGATCCACATGCTTTCTACTTCCATCCGAAATCGTAGTGGCTTACTGAATGTTTTGCGGGCTGACTGATATACCGTTCTTATACTCCCAGATGAATCTGGCTCCAATTTACTGTCCCCGGAGGTAGAAGGCTTGATTAGCCTAGGCAGGAGCCGGTCCAGGATTCGGCCTGGGGTCGTAGACATAGCAAGCGTCTCGGGCTCGTCAGCGGAGTGGCAGTGTTTGCGTTTTGGCCAACTACAGCTACTTACCGCCCATTTGTGAAAGTGTAGCAGAGCTATAGCATACCTTCACTGAAAACCATCTGTAAGTGAGCTTTGATAGGCACTTCTCACTTATGGTCCCATTTAGAGCTATAGAGGTCGGAAACCCCAAAGCGATCACTTTTCAGCTGCATTCGTCATCTCGCCCAGTGGTTCATAAATGGCCATCTGACGCGCGTTTTTCGATGTCATCATCTCACATCAAGAGGAACTCACATCCATTCTCCGACAAATATTCTCCTCCGAGATTTCCCTCCATCAGTCTCGTCCATTTCTTCACGCAGCACATTCTTATGGTCTTTATCGTCGCTGAGAATGGCCCTCAGCACTGCTTTGCACCATGAGTCGTTAAAATGAGTTCGATAGATCGGCTACTGGTTGCATAAGAGCTCTAGCGCACACTCCTCTATAATTCCAGCAATACTTCAAAAGTAATGTTGGAGCTGTTAATCTCAGAAAAGTAATCTTCTGGTGTCCCGAGGAGTTCAAGTTCAGTTAGTGATCAAAGTGCGCGAAGGAAGCTTTGGAAAAAGCAGTGGATACGAAATTCGGTTCTGTGCAGGGAGCGGAAAACGTGGAGCGAAACGAGACCATCCCTCCCGGGGTGGGGAGCGAGGGACAGGAGGGGTCCTACTTGCTTCCTGAGAGAAAATTGCGCGTCAAAAGAAAGTTTTTCCCAGTTGTTGACTTTCGCGGTTTCCCCTGTTTCACGATGAAACTAATACAATGTAACCCCAACTGCACAGCGACTGGTTAGCGGGCTTATGCGCAGCTGAACTGCTTTTTTTCCCGTGTTCGGGGTCCAGAAGTATTTCCTCGTCCCACGAGTTGTTACATGAGCATTAAAGGGGAGGAGGGGAGGAAACAAGGAAGACGAAAGAGAGAGTGGAAGAAGGAAAAGAAGGAAAAAGGAAGAAGGAGGAGAGGCAGGCTAACAGATGCTGTGGGAGGGTGCCGCGGCAGCTTGGTGTACGTAGTGAAGTCCTGTAAGAAGTAGTATTCGAACAGAGGCTGCCTCGGATGGATCAAGGCGGCCTGCCATGTGCTTTGGAGACGACGCTTAGAAGAGGTGAACTCACTTTAAGAAGACCAAGTTAGAGCTGCTAAGGTGCCAAGGAACTCTGTTTTGTTGGGGAATTGTGCTCGTGATGATTAGCGCAGTAGTCTGTTCTATCCATACCCATTCCCAGAAATGCAGAGACCCATCAACAAGCCAAATACGACCTTCCTTCTCTCAGTGGCTATCTCGCAGTCCCCACCCTTTCTCCGGAGTATTCTCTGATAGCGATTCTTTTTGCAGTGACTTCTTCGCGTGAAATGGGAAATATCGTCCTGTGATGGAGCCAAAGGTAAATCAACTGCACATGGGAAGTGCGAAATTCCTTAGCGCGTAGCTGGTCTCCTGCCCACAGCGTCTCGCAATTGTGAATAGGTGCAGCAAGAGCAAAACGCAAAATGAGGTTGATCGTCTCACTTTCTTCGAAATATCTCATTTATCTTACAGGATTCTTCATTTTCTGTTCCGGCGGGTGGGAGGGACTGATACAAATAAATGATTCGGGCTCAAATCAGAGCGCGTTGAGATCGCCACTGAGAAATCATGAAGCGACGCCTTATCCAGGTTGAACAATAAATGGCTTTCTGGGATAGAGGCCATGTTTCCACTTTACGTGCGACTTAGCCTATTCGAGTTGAAGAAAGAACACCTGAGCCAAGCCACATATGTTTGCCTTATAATGCATTATTGAGAACATCTGTCTTCCTTAAGTGTAAACCAATTCGCATTTCTTAAAGGGATGATCTGTCCCTAATGCGGATCTTTCTACTAAGCTGCATCTTCAAATCTTTTTTCGCATCTCACTGAATGAATCGATGACATTTTTGCTATTTCTCAGCACTTTTTGAAAAAAACGAGCCATTGCGAATTCCATGAGAGTGAGAGAGAGAGAGAGCGGGACATCCTATGCGTCATCAACAGCTGAAATGAGCAAAATTAAATTTTAAGTTGCCAGAAATAGAAGCGCTAGTGAGGGCATCGCCTAACAATGGGCGAAAGTAATCAGAATTCAAAGTTGTGAGGTCCTTGGAAAATGGGATGAACAGATGGTCAGGGAGCTTTGGATGTTTACAATCCAATTCGATATCTCGTTTCGAAGTATGGGGGAGGTGAGGGATTCCCGATCTGAAACTGCATAGCGTTCAATGCTATTTGGATGAGAACTTTTGTCCTTTTCATTTTTACATCGACAAAATTGCCATGAACATCGCTATCGATAGCCCATAGCTTTTTGTGTTGCCGAAATTAGCCAACATTCAGTTTGCCCACATGCGTTCCTCCACTTTTCCCACTCTGGTATGAGATGCGTTTAAAAGGGAAACCTAAAGGTCTGGGCAAACTTCAACCCCCCCCTCCTCCTCCACGACGGAGGATTGTTCTAATAGCTAAAATAAGAATATCTAGATATGACGGTGATGTTAGGTCATTAGAAGAGGGCATTTTATTCCGATGGGGGAAATCTACTTTGAAAACGACTTTTTCTATATTATATAGCTTTACTGGGAATATGTTTCAGAAGCGGCCTCCGAGCTAATCGTCAAGGCCTGAAATAATCAAAAAACCTTTTGAGATTTGCTAGCCCCGACGCTTTAATATAATGGCACACTTTGTTCTCCCCTTCCCCAACAACCCATGGGGCGAAAGTGCTAAGCGGAGTCGCATCTCACGCATTCCTGTAATACGGCACGCAAGGAGGCAGAGGCAACTTGAAAAGACTGGGCTCGGCTATAGTACTTGAAGGAAGGTAGCAACAACAGATTATTATATATGATTGAAATGGCGCGAAATGGAAAATGGCCGCAGAGCCAGACAAAGACCTTTTCACAACTGATTGGCCTGGTTCAGGATGGCACTCGTTGGTGGAAAGGGCGCATGCGTTCAATCCAGACCCTGCTCGTAAGAAAAATGATCTGTAATTCCATGCTCATCAGTCCAGGAGACGCTAGTATTTTGGAACATCTCAGGTCGGGGGGGGGGAGGGAGTGATCGTAGGTCGTTGAGAGACGTCGCGCTCGCTATCTAAGAAAAAAGAAAAAAGTGGTGGATGATAAAAAGCGTTGGAAGAAAAATTTAGGTTTCGAGGCTTTTCTGCAGCTTCTTCCGTAGTCACGGTGCGCTATATTTCCCTTCCTTCCCTAGTCACGCTGAACGGGCAGTTTTTCTCCTTTTTTTGGGCGGGGGTGGGGGATGGGTTAAGAAGTGTTGGGATTTTTGAAAAAAAAACTGACAAAATGGAAATGCTTTGGTAAAGGTTGGATGTTGGGATAATTCAGGAAGATGATAGATGTGATGGGGAATGATGAAGGCCCAACGTACCATAGAAGGAATCCCTTAAAAGGTCGTATTGTGCAGAAACCTTCAAACGATAAAACATATTCTGCTCGCAGTATAACCTCTGTGGGTCAGGCTTTGTGCTATGAAGAACGCCAGATAGTGGCAGTGCCCGTGAATAGACGGCAAGTCAACAATGCGTGCAAGACCCATCCCGCGATACGTGTACATTAGTCCTTACGCACTCATTCATTTCTCCGTCGGGAATCTTAGACGAGTAGCCCGTATCGGACTTTTTTGAAAGGAGTCTCCAACGTATCGAAAAGGAGAACTCTGGAAACTGAACATCGATGACGCCGTGCGCTTTATCTGCCACAAGCAAAGTCGACAGCCGCGCCCGCGAATCGATACGTGAGCCTTATTGCATCGACATCTCGTACTCTCACTGATGTTTCAGGTGCATTCGCGCTGCTTAATATGTTACTTAGTCACGGTCTTCCCGTAGTACATGAAAAAACCGCCGCATGCATAGGTAGCACTAAATTTGCTTGTGACTATAACGCTGAATTCTGGAAGCACTCTAAGAGGACGGAGCAAGAGATAAAAATATATGTGCAGAGCAAACCGGGTCTGAAATTCATAGCGTCTTATTCTGGACTTTTCATCAGGTTGAAATATGGTCACTCGATACCCTGCTACATCATGTGATCATGACGTCTTCAACTACCTCAACCTCACATACTGATCCACAGAAATAAGTTAAAGGCAGGAAGCGAACCGCTTTGCCACTAAGCACGGCCCATGAGATCGGATCTGACCTGAGCTTTTTCGGCTTTTTATCATTCCAGAATGAAGCATATACTTCCGCAGCTCATCAATCCGTTTCGTTTCTAGTGATGTGCCACGCATTTTGCTGCCATGCGGAATAGATATTTGGGAGGGTCCGGCCAATAAGTCTTGGCTATACAATCACTTGCGGGGTTGGAAATCACTGTCTTTATTAAACGAGTATGGCATCTATTGGCGGGCCCCGATCGTACAAAGGACATGGTAGGCCCGAGTCCAAGTTTTGCTGTAGGATTTTAGGGATGCCAAGGGCGCTACTGTACCACCTTCGCTTACCACGTCAGGGACTTCCCGGTAGGTTAGAAATTACTTGGCTCATCTCGGAGACCTTATCGAACTACTCATCCCTCATCAGTGATTAGGATCTCTGTATCCTTCGCATGATACCTATGGACCGCGAAACCTTCCTTTTTCTTCTCCTTTCTTCTTTTCCTAAGCTCCTTCCCTCCTGTTTTCCTTTCTCTCTTCAAATGCTCGGTGTAGATGCTACGAGAACATACCACTGAACCCTCGCAGCGAGAGAGAGAGTGTCCGGTTAACGAAAGCCTGTAAGCCTCTTTATCCCTCATTCTTAATCAGGAGTTTCAATTGGTAAGACTTTCTTCGAACTGGTGGGACTACCCAAGTACTTGAATGTCCACCTTAGGATTTTAGAGGCGATCGTATGTCACGTACTGAAGGGCATTCGTGGAAGTCCTGCTCGATTTTGTGTTCATGAAGACGACGAGAAGGTCGAAACGTCGAATCAATAATGAGATTCCATCAAAAACGTTGTTGGCATGCAATTACGATTTCAAGAGAGCAACGCCTAAGATTCGAAAATGGGTTTCCGGGCTTGCCAAGAAGGTCCCCTTCTCCCCGACCGTGATTTAAGAGATCGCGAGGCGAAGGGAGATCGAGTGTGATGAAAAGAAACCCAATGTACCATTCTTGATGAAATCCTGGCCCCTTAAGGAGTAACAGAACACCACATTAACCCAAGCCATAGACCAGAAGGGGGAGGATGTGGCTGCGTGTTTAGTCGGACACGGTTCAGGATGCCTTTCTCCTGAATATTCTTCTTGAAACAACTGACCCCTTTACTTATACTTGACAAAGACATGATTGAAATTGACTCAAATGCAAGTGCAGCCGCCGCTGCGTTCGAATGAAGCAGCCCTGCCCTCCCCATCTCTATGGTTTGGAATGTACAGAGCTCATTCAAACAAGTCCCCAACGTTATCATTTCGAGTTGGCTTTAGTGTAACAGAATTATCCTACACATTGAGACGACCTGAAAATCGACTGTGTGGCGTCTTAGAAGAAGTGGAGCAGCTGGACTGATTCACCCTTTACCACAGGAGGCATAATCAGGGCCGTGTCCTGTCCAACCATTATTGTCACCTTCTCTCCGGTTCGTTTTGGACTTTATCACAAACATGCTGTAGGCAAAAGTCACTCCCCCCCCAAATGATACTCGCACCCGCGTCTTGTGCAAGGTTGTGCAAGGGCGTCAAATATTCGTTCTTATATACTCTCGCTTCTGGGCATTTTTGGCCCTTGACTGAAGGTATGGTGCATGATGACATAGGGTAGACAGAGGAATGTGCGAGAAGTTGTGCCCTTCTTATGGACGCTCTCCTCACTATAATGCACTGAAGGTGCGACGGTTTCGAGTCTCCGCCCTTCGAATTATCACGGAATGTATTTAGAGCGGAACAAAAACAAGAAGTTTCTAAGTTTTTCTAATGCCCTTTTCTCTTTTTAGTTGCTCATCGACTGGTTCGCACCGCCGGAGGCTGGATGTTGCGTAGCAGTATGGCTGAGACAAATCGGGTTCAGCACCTTTTACGGATCCATTGTGCTCAAGATATACCGGTACGATTTCTATTTGGAATTCAAACATGCGCCCTCAAAACCTCTATACAATTGAAATCGATTCATTTTTCAGAAACTTGCAAGAATATCGCGTAAGAAAAGCGCAACACGTCTCCGTTAGGGAAAAGGACATGGTAAAATACCTCGTCGGAATGCTCGCTCTTACTATCACGGGTGAGTGTTGTGCCCTGTAGGGGGTCCTACGAATGTCACAGGAGTTGAAAATGCTAAATTGTTCAGGTTTAATGGCTTGGACGGTAGGGTCATGGGGTGATCCGGCACTGTGGAGGACGGCATGGCCACAGTGTCGGATGCAAGGATGGCATGTCATTTGGCATTGTTACGAGTTACTCTTTCTACTCTATGGAATGCGGCTTTGTTACAAGGTTTGCACGAAAGCACCGCTCTTGATTAAGCACTTTCGAGGGCCGAATGGCATGATTTTTTTTTGCTTTTCAAGGCTCGCAATAGCGATTGGCTGGAACGATGGCAATTTACAGTTGCTGTGTGTTTGGAAGCTGTTATCACACTCATGGCAAATCTTATCAGGTCAGTTTTTATCAGAGGATTGCTTGGTTTAACACCAGTGCAAACCTGTAGGCAGAATGCTTTCTCAGGTGGAAACGATCTTCTTCGAAGTCTCCTAATAGCAATCCCTAGGAAAAAAAGAGATCTTTCGACAGAAAATGCTTTCCCTTGGGCGAATCGATTTTGGACCACGGTTTCTTTTGGACCTTTCCGGGCTTGTGCACTATCCATTAAAGGCACGGTCCGCGATCAGGTATCGAAGTCGTAATATGACGTCAGAAGGTTAGTGTGGTCCGCGACGAACAGCCTTGTACCGATTTCGCGGCAAAACATTCTAAGAAAGGGGCGCTATACAGTGACTCCGCCTTCAGACTCCGCCCCCAATGCCCGGCTTTCAGTGAAAACGAGGTTGCAGGACGAAAAAGCATGAAAATCGTCACTTGTACGATCGTAGAGTTCTTATCGGTGAATCAGCTGTGCGTATGAGGGCGTAGTGGGCGAGATAGAGTTAACTGGGCACGTACAAGCTGGGATCAAAATGGGGTCACCTTGGGCGTGACAATGTTTTTTGTGTTTTTCTCAACTGGCGAGTTTACTCACCCCGTTGTCTTGGCTGTGTGGCAACCCCTAATTCACGATCTGAGAAATGCGCGAATAATTGCGGTTCTGTCCCCTCACGGTTAAAGCGCGCAAGAGCAGCGCTAAAGGTCGACAAGTGATCAGCAGTGTTGTGGACCGCTAGAACGAAGAAATATTATCTTGTTAGTGTAGGCTCTCTTTCCAGCCAAGAGGCACCTTTACACAGCGCCCAAGCTACCCGTAGCGCCTCACCCGCAACCAGCCCGCCCATTAGTCACACGTATAGCACACCAACGCTGTACTCTATTCTTCACTATGAAGAATTGAAGGAAGTGTTGCTAACACGGATATTGAACACATACGTACGAGCCCGTATCTGTCGAAGCGGTTGTGTGCAGCGACTGTGACTGAAAAACTCGTCCAAAAATGCTCGTCTCGATGCTTTGCACCAGCAAAAGGCCTTACGACGAATTTTGTCGTATTAACCTCGCCCTTTCTCGTTTTCCACCACATAGCGTCCTGCTCAATAGTATACGCCTATACCCCGAGACGGAGTAAGGCGTGGCTTTTGAGCATGGCATAGTACGGGTTACTCGTAGGATACTTCAGTTTGAAACAACTGCTATGTTCTGTATTAGATGTAGACACGATTACGGACGCTCCAAAGTGAAAAATTCAAGAAAAATAAACTGGCCGCACCTATTTCCACGTTTTGCATACGCAATCACGCCTACGCCGATCTCAGGGATTTCGCAGTTATTTGTGAGGCATGTCAATTTAATTGTGCCTTTGCCCCGAAACCTTTGCTACTTATGTCCGTTATGCTCCGGTGGCAGAACTGTCCATTATCGCTAACCAGCTGCTTCTAGTATTCCGTTCGCAATCCGGCATATACAGCCAAGCTTTCAAAATTCATTTCGTCAACTGTCAACCACCGTTTCTGGTCATATAGTCATCATCACGCTCCAACAAGTCTACTTTGTCATTACTGGAAGCTTTCTCATTGCATTGTTCGAACTGAGGACCTCTTAAGAACTTTGAAATAGAAAAAAAACGAGCAAAATACCAGGTACTTAACCTTGATGACTACCGTTTTTCCTTTCATTTGGAAGGGCAGCGTGCTTTTCACATAACCCCATATTTAAGGCCATGGTGATGATTTGTTCGTTCTGCATGAGTTGCAAGAAGGGGGTAGCTTACAGTAGAGCCCGTAAATCCCAAACGTTTAAACCGACGGCAGCTTAACCCTGAGCCACTCATTCGTCAATGGGGCTCTAGCAATCAAGATGTAGAGATGACGTGTTCAGAAATCTCAAAGTTGGCAGAGGAATGGGGTTCCGTTGCCTGTGACTACTTCTGCGCTGCCCCGCATACGACATTACATAACCTGGGACGTAGTCCAGCTAAACATCGTCCCCCCCCTGACATACTGTAAAGTAGCCTTTTTTATGAATGTGCCCCTCAGTTTCTCCGTTAATCGCTGATTTATCGAGAATTTTTACATATTCCAGCTTTTTTACCTTTATGTTGCGCTTAACATTTTCTGGCGCTGACGAGCTCGAGGAGGCATTTGAAGGGCTTATGCCTGGGATAACCACAACAGAGCCGGAGGTTTTGCTTAGACCTCAAGGGAGAAAGATCTCCTGGGTACATGAGCCAGTTTCAAGTGCAGCATTCCCATCCTCATAAATTATCTGCATAAGAAGTCCTCCGACTGGGAGGTTATGAGCGTCCATTTTCTTCCATTGACATAATCTGGGATGTACTGGACCTCTAAATAAGTTCGTGCGCTAAGGCATATATTGAAGATTTTCTAAAAGGACACCATTCAATAAGGAAAGTTTTCGAGAGATAAGAGTGATAAATTTGCCGTAGACTTACTCAAAAGGTGCGCCATAATTTCGCACGAATCAAAACAGTCAAGGAAACAGAAAAGGAAAGAAAAAAAAGAAAAGGCACATTAAATTTCGGAAGAACCTTCGCAACTGGTTTAAGGTGGGAACCCGACTTCCCTCTGTCCAGGGAACTGGAAGAGAGAAATTGAATTTGGATCAGAGTATTCGTGAGTGAGCCGTTAAAGGAGGGAATCGTGCTGAACGACCCATACTCCACAGTCAGGGTCACCTTGTGCAGATCGGGGTGTGCATGGATATACTTCATATCTCGGAGATAGGGAGGGCGTGGCAGTGCACTTCATTCAAACGTGGCGCCGGCTTTGGTGGGTTTGGGTGGGATATTGAAGTTTCAGGGCAACTGTGATATTACCTTTGTTCAGCCCAATGCGCAAGCCTGTTATCTCTAATGACCACAGGGCACGCCCTACCGCTGGGGAAACTCTCGGAAAATACAACCTCCCCCATCGCTCTCTGCTCCAATCCACCCTACCCCCACCCTCCAGCTTTTTCCAGCCTTCTACCACAATTTTCAGGCAGGATAGGATACGATGAGAGTTTC